TAAAATAATAATGAATGTTCAATCAATCATTATATAATGTTCAATAACTTCAAAATATTAGTGATAATTTTTTTGTTCAATAAGCGACATCTTTCAGTTACTATTGATTTCATGTTACACTGCACATTAAGTTCGCCAATACATTACAAGATTCTAACACTTTCAATAATAATGTCATTTTCAACAAAATTCAAGATACATCGTATATACATGTATAGTTATTATAATTTATAACATTCTCTTATATAGTTCGAAAGCATTTCAATACAATAATTTTATAATTAATAAGAACACCAAGCTAATTCAATTTACTTTTGAAAACTCATTCCTTTACTAGAGGCCGAAAAAACAATACAGCATTCAAATATAAGATTTACTATAAAAAAAAAAAACAATACTATAAAAACTTATAAAGGCAAATAACCCCCAACAATATACAAAAAAAAGAACATCTTAAATTAAAAAAAAAATATCATCTGCTGTAAGCAGCTTGTGTTACTAACCCTCCAGAAATCAAATTAAAATAAAGACAAAAAAAAATAGTAAGTATAACAATTTTAAACCAATATTAATTCTATATAGGCACGAGCCAACATCACATCACAAATCGCTTCTACATCTTTACTCTGCGTTTAATGATGATCTTTCATTTCTGATTAATGTTGTTTTTTTTTCTCTCTCTTTTTTTATATATTTTTATTCTTTATCCGATCATTCTCTGTTATATTACTACTATTATTTTCAATATATTTATTGCTGAAGTTGTTCCAATATATCGTGATTACTGAAGTTGTAACAAAACATGAAAGCATATAGAGTATAGTATAACAGCTTACCTTTATAACTTTATCTGATCAAATGATTTGACTTCAATTTAAGGATTCTGTATTATTCACTTTTTTTCTTAAGTTTTTTTTTAAATATATTTAAGTCGGACATCAAAAGGCGATGCATATTTTTCCACATAAATTGTTGAACATATATACTCACTATATACGATGTCTATAAAAAGTATGCGATATATATACTTATACACATAATCGTGATAAAATACTAACAATTTAAAATAAACTTAATTTTAGGGTTAAATTCCGTAATACATAGTGGCCCGTTGTATAAAATAATATTATTGATTAAATTGATTGCAAAGTACGCGGTCATAATTGTTAGGTATGATCGTAGCAGAAAATTCACACAAACCAAATATCAATGATTGCCAGAAAAACAAAGAATGTCATTAACCTATACACATAAAAGACTTAACATTCAGCATAAATTATTAAACTTGTTAGATTTTAAAAAGATATATTTGTACGCATAATCTATTCTTTTGTATATATATATATATATATATATATGTATATATATGTATATGTATGAGCGTGTATATGCTTGTACATATAATAGAATTTGTATTTCATACGTGAATCTTAATTTGTCACATAAATATGATCAATTATAATACACTTTAGAGTCGGTTTTCGAAATGTTATCATAACATTTTTTCCTCACTATTTACGTATTTGAGCACGCATTAGTATTGAGATGCATTAAATCTTTAATGTCAAAACGGAAATAAACAAGGATATTTCCCGGTCTTTTATAATTTTAAATTAATTATTTTGACTTCGGAATTGGGGTAATGCTGCGTATTATTACGCAATTCAACTTATAAGTGTTAATTACTGAATGGTATACCAACGCAATTAAGACATTATTAAATATTTACTAAAAACTTTCGTAATGCAGTACATTTTTGCAATTAAGACATCATAGAGAGATCTTCAATCGATTTTATTAAGCAATTAAATTTAAAATTCTTTATCATACCGTAAAATAGAGAAATTTTCGATTTATTTTAATCAGCTATTAAAATTATGTAGCAATTCAGAATGCAGCAATTACAGTTCATATACTAAATTGTGCGTTAATATTCCTATACATACAGTAACGGGAAAATAAAAGGTTCATTAATCGGTTTTAGGTTAATGCCTTTAAGGTAAAAGGCAAAAAGAAAAAAGAAATACAAAATATAACAAAATTGAAAAAAAAGTTGTTGTTGTGATGATATTGATGGCTCTTTACATTATTCTGCATTTGTGTTGCATCAAAAAGAGATGAAATATTGGAGTAACTTTTTATATGGATCACAATCGTACATTTAGCGGTTTACAGTTGTTATTACTTATATTTATAGCACGCGCTAAACACTGCACTACAATCTTATACAAATAAACCACCTGCGCTTTTTTCTTTTTTAACATCTTTCGAATGAATTTTTTTTTATTTGATTTCTTTATTTTTATTTACGAAAATGTTTAGTTCATTAAAATCTTCACTTCCAATTAATCGAAAGTCAAGACATTAAAAACTACATATTATATATATGTATATGTATGTACATACATTTATATATAGAGATATAAATAAATAAAATTCAAAAGGAATTTTAAGATGAAAGTGAATAAACAAAACAAATAAACAAAACGTGAAGAAACAAATGAATTTTTATAGAAAATTATAAGTCAAGAACACAAGAAGTCAACATTTCCGGACGAAAAATACAGTGCTCAGTCACTTGAATAATTATTAATTGTGATGTGGCGCTTTTGAATGCAGCAATGAGTATACCTTTAGTTCTGAAACTGTGAATGAAAATTTTTTTGCTTTTAATCATAAATTTTGTCAACCAATGTCCAATATTTATTGTAAAATATTCAAATTAGTATTGCAAATGAGAAAAATTTCCTTATCCAATAAAGGTGTTTCAGAAATCCCGCTATGGACCAGAAAAAAATACGTTACACATGAGCTAGTAAAAGAGTCAAAAAAACGGATTCAAAAAATTCTTAAATACTTTTATAACTTTTATTTAAATTTTTAAATCGCTCCCATGGCACTTTAGGTTTCAAGAACAATTTTATAATAGGATGAAAATTTATTTTTCTGTATTGGTTTTCAGTTTAAAATTATAGTGTAATTTTCTTATAATCTTTGACCGGAAATGTCAAATTAAAATAAAGTGAACGTTATTCATCAAATATTAAAACTACATTATTTTTATCATGATAATAATTTTAAGAAAATATTGCTTATTCTATATTTTCATTACAATACGAATGGTTCCCTACTTTCTTGCACCTAACAACTAGTGCAGTTAATTATTGCCTTTACCATTATAGTTTTTTTCATTATTATATAAATTTTCAAATATTCTTTTATAATATATTAATGTATGTATATCTATAATGTTTATATCCTTATTATTTTTTTAGTGTACCAACATTATTTCACCTTTTTCATAATCTACTTTTTAAATTTATTTTAGAATTTTGAAATTTATAAGTAAATTATTGAAATTGTCATATGAGCGCGTGCTTCATCAAGCGAAACTTCAACAGTATTCCCATATTGAGTCTTACTTTAGGTAGGATACTATTAGCCAAATTAAAAATATGAGGAAAATACAATTTTGTTTCCTTCAAAAACGAAGAGCTAAACAATAAATGTTTATCTTAAAGGAATTCCCTATACTTATGGTAAGCTTTTCTCTGAATTTAATTATTTTTTTTTAATTTTCTTTTATGCTGAACATGAAGCCATTTATTTCCTTTACAAAACTCGATTACCACTCCAATTATATGTTCATATGTATGCATATATCATGTACCTTCAAAATTGAATTAGTTTTATTAAAAGTACGAGAAATTCACTAGATTTAAATACACAAAAATTAAATTTCTGTTCTATATTTTCATTTATTGTTTTAATAAATTGTTACATAAATCGTTTAGTACATATAAAAATTTTAACAATTTCCTGGTTTCACAATTGTTATTGACTTGCCCTTTTTATTTTCACATTCAAGCTCGTATTTGTTACTGTAGACTTTACCATCACTTCCACAAACCGGTGCCAAAACTTCTGGAATTGCACAAACAACATCATCCGCTTCAATATTCTTAAATATGGTAACAATCAATATAAAAGCAGTAAGAAAAAATGCGATAAATTTCATTTTTAATAAATTTTTATGAACTTTTGAACCTATGAGCGACTAAACTGTTGGAATATTATTCCTTAAATGATATTATTTTTACTGAGACGTAATTATTTACCTATTTATAGTATTGTATTTACCTTATATTATACAAACAATTTAATATTTGTTTTTTTTTAAATCTCAACACCAACAGGTTCTATTAATTATGATCTTCAGTACAACTGGTATTTAACAGTCAAATCTTAATAAATGCAAAACAAAAAAATGGTATATAAAATATCTAGAATAAGTGTAGTAAAGAAACAAGTATTATTTTAGAAAAAATGCTAAGAATTAATAATTTTTGCTAAGTATGAGCTACATAATACAATTTTAATTAACGTATCTGTTCTGCATATTTAGTAAATTTGACATTAACAACTTATAGCAAAATAATCACAGGTTAAAGTTGCTTAACATACTTTTGTAATTTTTTTGTCTAAATTCCAATATAGTAAGACTTTTTATCTACATGACCTAAAAATATCTATGTATAAAGAGTGCATTATATTTTCCCTTTCAATTTCATTTGGAAGAGCACTTTTTCCTATTAGAAGTAGTTTTATGATTTTAAAATTTAAATGCCTTTTCATATTCTAATTGGATTGAAAAATTCAAAGGCGCCCTATATACTGTACTCTGTAACTCATCATTCAAAAATTTCAGTATAAGGTTCAAATCTTCGCTTAATTACGAAATAGTTAACAGAAAATACGCCGGCTATACAATTCGCCGTCAATTTTTAAATGTCAAATCGAAAATACGACAGTATTATTCATTTTTTTGTGGTTACAATTGATTATTTACATTTAAATTGAAAAGTTGAACACTACAGATAGGAATTAGAGCAATCTCTTATTAATCCTTAAATATTTTTATTTTGAAAATTTAATTGCATTTAATATACAAATATAATAAATATAGATTTTTTTAAATAATTACTTCATAAATTACATTTATGTTTATAAGAACTTTACTTAAAGCCGCTACAAGGAATATAAAAATAACGCAAAGGTAAATCCTACAATGGTTAGTCGAAGAAAAATTAAAATTTATTTTCAAGATTTTACCAGCACAAATCAATTTCTGGAATGGAATTAGAGCAGGTAATTGAAAAACTTGAAAAGTTTGCACCGTTAGTTAATGCAGAAAGTTGGGATAATGTCGGACTATTAATAGAACCTGCAACCCCAAAGTAAATCTTCATATAATATAATTTCTAAGTTTTTAATGACGAGTAATTTATTATTTTGATTTTTAGAAATATTAAGAACATTTTTCTCACAAATGATTTAACTGAGGTAGTTTTAAATGAAGCTCTGGAAAAAAAATCAGATATGATTATTTCATATCATCCACCAATATTTGCCCCTTTGAAACGGATTACACAAAGGTAATTATGTATATATTTATATGCATATATAAATTATTTATTACTATAAATTTATGAAAATATTTTAATACATACATATGCATCTTTACTAATTTCCGATTTCGGTTCCAATAACAGAACATGGAAAGAACGCATTGTAGCAATATGCTTGGAAAACAAAATTGCTTTATATTCTCCACATACCGCCTGGGATGTGGCTAAGGGTGGTGTAAATGATTGGTTAGCGTCTGCTTTTGATTATTCTAAAATATTACCAATAAAAGTAATTAACGTACATAATATATTTCTTCTTAATATAATATGATAACTAATTTAAATGAAATAAATTTATATTTAGTCATTTCCTGAAAATCCTAATGAAGGGATTGGACGAATTTTAACGTTAAATAATCCAACACAACTGAAAGATATCATTGAAATTATTAAGAAACATGCTGAAATACCAACTGTTCACGTCGCTATTGGGAATCAGTCAAATTTAAATTCTGCAATAAGAAGTGTAGGGATATGTGCAGGATCTGGTGCATCTCTTTTAAAAGGTACTAAAGCAGATCTATATTTATCGGGTGAAATGTCACATCATGAAGTTTTGGATGCCATACAAAATGATATTTCAGTCATATTATGCAATCATAGTAATTCGGAAAGAGGGTTCTTAAAGAATTTTAAACCGCAATTACATTTATTACTGGATGGTAAATGTGATATTTTAATTTCAGAAAAGGATAGAGATCCACTGTCATCATATTAAATGTTTATAAAATTAACTTAAAAGAAGTTTTTTGTCATTGTTTTAAGTAATGTTTATAAATTTTTTATATTGAATATGAAAATATAAAAATGTTTTCTTTATAATATCAATATGATTGTCATTTTCTTTAAAAATAGCTAAAATTAAAGCTTCACTATCACATTTTTAAAATTTGGAGTTTTATATTTCCCATTCTTTTAATTATATAAGATTATACTCAGAAAAAAAGAGATATCTCTGTTAACATTTGAATAAGACTATAAAAGAAGAATTGATTATGTTAAATATTTTAAAAATGGTCGCGACAAATTTAAAAAATTCAAAATTAAAGTTTTAATTACCCACTTGATGCCTCACTTTAGACTTACTTGACTCCTCACTTCAGACGATGAGGTTATTTAAAATTATAAAGATTTTCAATATGTAGTTTCAAATTTCATTTTAATTGTAAAATTTTTGAATTAGTCAAGCGATTCATCTAAGAATATATCAGTGTAAGTGATCATAATAAAAAAAAATCAAAATTTTTTTTTCAATAATTAATATATTTTATATAAAATAAAAAAGAACATGGAAATAATATAAATTATTTAGTTACTAAATAAAATACTAAAAAGTTTTCTTTTTAAACTTTTTTCTCGTTTCTGTAAGAATGCTGAACTGTAGACAATTTATTTTTATTCAATATATATTAAAATATTTTATTGTGTATTTTTAACTAATTTTTTAATTTTTTTAATTCTTTTTCACATCTTTTATTTTAAATTTTTTATACATAATACTAAATTACTATGTTTAGTGTCAGAAATTTCATTGTTATTTTATGATTTAATTAATAGATTTTTATTAATTTTTATTATGTTTTTATTTTATCTATCTAGACTCAATTTATTTCCAGTTTGTCATATAATTTTTTTGTATTTCTTTACTATAATTTGCCAGTATTTAATAATTATTATTTGAATTAAAAAAAAAATATTATTGATTTCATGATATATAAATACGCATTGATTTCATGAAATATAAAATAAAGAATAATATTTAATTAATTACAGGAAACTTATGAATGAAATGAAATATTATTTATAATAATAATAATAATAATAAAATTAATAATACATCATAATTTTTAACATATTTACTTATAATAGAAAATAAAAATCTGATAACAAAATTCTATAATAAGTAAAAATAAAAAAAAAAAAGTATATTATAGAAATTAAAAATGGAAGTTTAAAATTACATTTAAAAGTAATTTTTAAAAAAATGTTCATAATGAAAAAAAAATTACAAATAGATATAAAAAATTCAATTTATATCTTGATCGCATTAAATCTAAAAAGAACATATATAAAAAGTATTATGTATGTTTCTTCTATTTTAAAATTATGCAATTTAATTTTCATAATTAAATTTTACATTTTGAATTCGATTTTACAATTACGATTACTAATAATTAAGTGATAATTAAGTAATGAAATTTTTATTACCAAAAAAACAAATAATATATACCTTATTTACTAGGTAATAACTTTAAGTGTAAAATCGTTTTAAAATTTTTAAAATGAAATTTTTTTTATGAAAAATTTTTTAATACAATAAAGTTTACTACTTAATATTTATTTGAAAAATATTTTCGCTATTATTTGTATTTATATTATTCTCTCAACAACTTACTACACAATATTCTTACATAAATTATTTTAAATTAAAAAATAATAAGGCAAAATAAGAATAAAAAAATTCTTGAAAGAAATATTCCAACATATCAATATTTTATTACTAAGTATTAGTCATTAAATTTCTTTAAAAAGCCAGTATTTTCTTCTCATTATTTGATTTTTCATTATGAACATTCTTTTAGAAGACACCAATGAAAAATTAAAAAAAAAAGGAAAACTTTACAGTGCTACATAAGTTACATTATAGTTTACTTTTAGTTTTTTGTTTTTTTTTTTTTTATTGTAATTATAAAAATGCATCTATACATCCAATTATTGTTTTATATTAAATTATTTTAAGACGTTATAATCATACAAATATACATAAAAAAAATTAAAAAATTAATTAATAATAGTTTTTTCTAGTTTACACTAAAAAAAAGATTATCAGAAAATTAAAAAAGTAAAAAATAAAAAACAAAATGAAAACAGTTTCAATGTGTGCGCATTGTCAATTTTTGTAGAACTTTTAAACCTTGCTCTTGATATTCTTGTTTTGACATCCAAAATGCATCACTATCTTTAGCCAATTCAGCTAATACAGCACCTCCAATAAATACCATATCTTTCCGCCTTGGTGGATCTTCAATACGTATTTTGAATTTCTAAAATCAAAAAGAAACACAAATATAATATTTGCATTGTTAATTTTAAATAAGTTCAAATTTTATATTATTTGTTTTGAATAAAGAATCGATTAATTTATGTTGATTTATTCTTAGTATTTTTAAAGCAGGTAACATATTTACCGATAATTTATCGATGTCATTCTTTAAAACTCTTTCTAAATACAATTGCTTAATCTCACGCTCCAATCGACTCGGAAGACCAGGATACATCGTTGAGCCACCAGATAATACTATATGTTTATATAATTCTGGACGCATATCAATATCGGCCGCTTGAATTGTATTAAATACTAATTCTGCTATACCTTGACCTTCAACATTGATTAGATGCGGTTGAAATAATGCTTCCGGGGCTTCAAAACGTTCTCCACCAACTTTTATAACACGACCATCTGGTAGCTAAAATTAAATTCAATATTATTTTATTTAAATTTATAAAATTTTAGATATGTAATTTTTCTTACTGTATATGATTCCACCAATACGGTAGTTTCTAACGCCAGTCTTTGTTCCATTTCTATATCATAACCGATATAACACAATTTTTCTTTCATCATTCTAACAGTTTCAAAATCAGCGGAATGATTAAATGCATAACCACGCAATAAAAGTAACTAAAAGTAAAGTGAGAATTTGTACATTTATTGAAAAAAGATAATTTTTTAATTTTAATAATTACTTTAATTAAGTATCTAGTGATATCTCTACCAGCAATATCTAATCTTCTAGTCAAATGAGGTAAAGCAAATTCTTCATAAACAGGACATATATGTGTAACCCCATCACCAGAATCAATAACTACACCAGATATTAAACCTTGAGCATATAAAGTTAATACAGCTTGTATTGCAATATAAGCTGAATGGAAACCATATTTTTCGAACATAACCTAAAAAAAAGAAAAAATACTAAGCTTTAATTTTAAGTTAAGAAAAATCGTAAAATATTTGCAAAGTTGCAAAACTTATATAAATTATTTGCAAATACATCATGAAATTTTCACTCATGTAATTTGCCTTCTTACCTCTATCATTTTTTCACGATTCTTTGTTGGATTCATTGGAGGTTCTGTTAGCAATATTTTTGTATTTGTTGGATCAATATTCATTTTTGATGAACCAAATGTATAATCCCATACATGACACATATCTTCCCAATTTCTTACAACACCATTTTCCATTGGATATGATACTTCTAATAATGATCTTAATTGTGAGGCTTCATCTCCTACCATTAAATCCTAAATTATCAAAAGCATATATAGTATGTTAATTAACAAAATTAGTAATCCAAATAACTAATATGTACATTGGTAATAAAAAAACTCTATTTTGTATTAGTATTCAAAATTAAATTACATAAAAAAGAAAAAAAAAACTATGTATAAACAATTAAATATGAAATTACTTCATTTTATTATTAAATTCTAAAGATGACACACAAGACAACAGGGATGGACTCTTTTATTAATATTTTAGTTTGAAAGTAAAACACAAGGCAAAAAGAAAATGAATTATTTTTACTTTTCAAAAAGTTATTTTTACAATTAAATATGAATTTTAAAAAGTTTTAATTGGATTATAATAAAATTAAATGGAAAAATTAAAAATAGAAACAAGAAGTGCAAATTTATAAAAACAATTTTTTATTTTTATTTTAGAATGACAATTTTTGTCTTCAAAAAACATCATGAAAAAATTAAGTCTGGAATATATTTTAAAGTGTTATCAACTTTGTTTTTGAAGAAATCTCAAAAATACTACAAAAATTGTAGTATATGTTCAATAAACAAGAAAAATTAAAGCAAAGTAAGATTAATCTGAATTATTAGTATTTTCTTGATCTAAATTGAAATAATTCCAGCCATAATTTTGTGCATGCATTTATTGTGTCGTTGGGCATGTTTTGGGAATGTGACCATTATTTAAAATGTGTTGACGATCAATTCAAACAAAAACAAAAATAAAGAATTCGAATGAAAATAAATAAAGAATTAAACGATATTCTTGTGCAAATTCTTAACAACTTGAACACAAAATACAGAATTTAATGAACAATTTAAAAATTAACCATTTAAAGAAAAGTTTTCTAGATATACACAAATATAATTTTATATATTATATTATGTATTTAAATTTAGTATGTAAATTTGTTCAAATTGTCATGAATCTACAACTTTCAAATCAGATTCCTTTCATTCCATAAAAGGAAACATTTAAACAGTGAATTAACATAGAAAAACTTAAAGAATTAATTTAAAATTTTAAAAAATAATATTGTATAAAATAATTTACTTTTTTAAACATTTTATTCAATAATTAACAATCATTTTGTTTTATTTCTTTCATCATAATTAAAAATAAATGAAACAAATATAGTAAGTTTAACTAACTAAAATGATAATAATGTTTTTTACATTATTGAATAATATGAAAATTATGTTTCTGAAAGAGAATACTTATTAAACTTTTTTTTAAATGAATATTTTCAATAAAAATGCACAATTTAAGTAGACAAACGATCAAAATTGTTTAATTAATGCATATTTAATTATATTTAAATAATTTTAAATATTTTATATGAATAAGATGATATTAATGATATAATGATAAAAATTTGTATAAATTTTTTAAAATCTACATGAGCAGTTAATAAGTATCTACATAATCATATTAATATTGAAAGAGAATGAAAGAAAATTACATTATTTCTAATTATTTATTTAATTAAATGAAATAGTGCTTTCACTGATAAAATTTTAAAATAATTTCAATATGTGAAAATAAATTGGAATGAAGTTGAAGATTTGATAACAAATTACATGTTATTGCAAATTGTTAAATTAAAGAATTTGATCCAATAAATATATATATAAAATGGAGATGATTGAAGAGTTCGATATTTATTTGATATCTATGTGTATCAATATTTATAATACACAAGCTATACTTAATAGCATTATAATTTTTCTATAAGAAAATGTTATATTTGCATATGATTTTTAAAAATCATGTAATTTTAAAGAATTTAGCTAATAATGATAGCAGAGTTTTCAAAAAACGATTAGCTATAGCTTTTATTTAATTATTTTGAGCAATTTAAAGCAAAATAAATCTATAATTTATTTAGAAAAACAAAACAAAAATAAAAAATAAGTAGGTATACCCACATATTTTAAACACATAAGTACATTTTAAAAATTTGTTAATTTTTATTCTATATAAAAATATATAGATAACATTAAATTTAATAAAAAATCATATATTTATAAAAAAAAATTAAATTAAAAACAAAAATAAAATAATATTAAAAAAATAGAAAAACCAAATGGTTTTCTAAACACAAAAAAACTAAATTCAGGTTATTTTTTTTCAATCAATTGCTTTTTTGGAAATTTTTCGGTTTGTTTTTTTTTACTTTTATAAATTTTTGATAAGACTTACATCAACATGTAAATCCTGTAAAATATATTTTTTTTTATTATTTTCGTTCATTGATAAATGAAATAAAAAAAAAAAAAAGAAAATTAATTAAAAAATTTTTAATATTTATATATAATTAATATTTAAGTAGATATAAAATATATTTTATATGAAATCGATAATAGACATAATTATTATAAAATTTGTGTTTTTGTCTAATGTAAGAATTTTAATTGTTTTCAGATATTTTTATAGGTCAAATTAAATATTATTTTTTTCATTAATAAAAACTTACCTTAACTTCAATATCACCGATTTTATTTACGGCTCTAATTATAGGACGACCAACTATTGATGGAAATATATGTGCAGGAAAATTGCTACCGGCATAACCGCATTTAACAAACTAAAAAATAAAAAAAGAATTTAATTTTTTTTAAATTTATTTACCAAAATAAATTTAACATTTTCCACTCATAATTATTTACCAAACATGTACATTTAATATCTTGATCCCTACATATTTTAATTATATTTTTATTTAAAAAAATTATTAATTAAATTTTTATTCAGGAAGAAATTAAGAGAATCTACTTAAACATTATTAAGTTTTATTTTAAGGATTAGAAAAAAAATCATGTTTTATGGTATCTATAATTGGGTATAGAAAATAAACTTTAAAAACGACTTCATTGAAAATGTAGGCTAAGTGATGCATACTTAATTTTTTACCAAGAAATTTGAATGAAAAATATAGTATGTACGAATGTGTGTATCTATATAAATGTGTATACACATGAACATATGTATAAAAATACTAGATATTATATATAAACATACATACGGCATATTGTATAAATATGTATGTAGATATATAGGTATTCCATACCATTTACAAAATAATATGGAATTTGTGCCCACATTTCCTACCATTTTTCTAACATTATGAAAATTTGTTTTGAAATGTGTTAATAATTTTAAGTTTATAAATTTCTAAATTAGATTAAAAATTAATTCCATACTGACATAATTCAATTCTACTGTAGGAATATTAATGGAAGAAAAACTAAAGAAAAAAAATTCCATAACCTCGTTATTGTTTTATATTTTCGATATTATATACAAAAAAAATTACCCTTAAAAGGGCGGGTCAGTATCTACAGTATTCAAAATTAATTCAAAAAAAAAAAAAAAAAAAACATTTTATCTATACGTTCATAGGTAGATTCAATTGGTATCCACTACATTTTTTTTAATAAATTTAATCTTATCTTTAAATTTTATTAAAATTTCAATTATACATGCATATGAGTAAAATTTAAACATACATATTTGATTTTAAGCACATTAAATTGAATACAAAATGTGTCATACACCCAAAAACTATCATTAAAAAAAATTTCTTCTCCTTTTAATCAATAAAAAAAATTTCTTTACTGTGTCTCCATATAAGCTAATTTTTTACTTACACCAGTCCCATTATCACAAACTATGACATTCCTTCCTTTACTATCCATTTTGGCAAATATTTTTTCATAGAACTTAAAAGAATTAAAAACTAAATTTTTATAAAATTTTTGGCTTTAACAAAATTTATCTAAAAATGTAAATTTTTATTCTAACTCTCCCGCAATGAAATTTCCGATGACTAAACTAAATGTCAAAAATACTTGCATTTTTTCAAGTTGACTTGTCTAAATATGACAGTCCGTGGTTGTTCAACTTTTTTCTTTCTGTTTTTCTGATTTTTTTTTTTTAATAAATGTCACTATTTATTAGGGTTGCGTAAAATATTTAAAAATTTTCGCTGAGTTTTTTTTAGTTTTTAAGAATTTTTGCATTTTTTTCTTAGAAATAATTGATTAATCGAAATAATTAAAAATTCGATGTTTTTTAAACTTTGTTTTACGTTTCAGTTTTTATTTTTCTGCGATTTTGTCAATTTCAAAGCGAAATTTACAAGCCATGAAATTTGAACATTAATAAGGTGTAGTTGTATATTTGTAAATGATTCGAAACACTAATTAATACACAATGCAAGAAATACAGGAACAAAAATTTATTAGAGTGATCAATCAGTGAGCTAGTAATGAAATAAAAAAATAAATAAAATGTAAAGTTAATCATAAATTTTATTATGTTAAGATTATATTGCAAAAGCAAAAAAAAATAAATAAAAAATTTTTTTAAAATTAAAATTGAAATTGCAAATGATTCAAAGGAACATATTTTTTCTTAAATAAAGAGATCTGCAAAAAAAAAGGTTCTCAATTAATAAGCAAGTTTTTGAAAAGTTTTTTAAAACTTGAAAAAACTTCAAGACGTTTTAGTATGCAAAGCAACTGGTATAATACTTGACGTCATCGTTTTCTCAATGCTTAAATTTTTTTCAAGTTTTGTAAACAAAAAGTTAGTGTTTTAAAAACATTTCAAATTATAAAGCTAAAACATATGTTCTTTTTTATATAAGTACTGTTTATGTTTTATAAATATTTTAAAATTTAACGTTTATCACGTGTTTTGCAAAGTTTTAAAAGTTTTTTTCAACTTTTCCGTCTGATTCAGTTCTTTTTTTAAATAAATTTTTTTTTTCTTTGCTAGAATTGATTTCACTATTTTCTCTTTTTAAAGCCTTTTCAAGTTTTACACCAAATAGATAGAACAAGCAAATTTCTTTTTATATTCGAATAAAATTAAAAGAAATTTAAAAGCAATTGAATTTATTCAAACACTCTGATATTTCCGTAAGTAAATTTCCTGTTATACATAATTTGTAATATTTTAATAAAAATTATACTGGAATATATTTTCATTTATAAAAATACATTAGGCATTTTTAAACAAATGTTTTTAATTCATGAAAATACCTTATTATATGTTACATTAATTCTATTTATTTTATTATTACTATAACTGAATTTTATTGTTACTATAACGGATATTTTATTATTACTATAACTGAAAATTTTCACAAAATTAACATATTTACTTTATAATTTTTTTTTTATTATGGCAATACTTAAAATGATAAAATCATAAACAATAAAAAAAAAAGAAATAATTTTAAAAACATTTTCACGATTCTTTTCTTTTTTGCCTTGTTTTCTTTCAACCTTTCATTTTATCTTTTATGCTTTCGTTAGTTGGTTCGTTATTTTGGTTCATTTCTTCAGTTGAATGAATGTATTTGCTGTTTTGTAAAAATTGAAAGATCAGTTGAAAGCAATCATTCGATCGTGGTCATTCATCCGAGTTTTGCGGCAACAATACACAATAAATAAGTTTTGTTAGTTAAGAAAATTGAAAATTCGTTCCGGTAGTGAATTAAAAATAATTTTTTTTTTCTTTCTGTTTCTTAAATATTCTTATTAGCATATTCAATAGAAAACATACAAAAAACATGTGTCATTAATAAAGAAAAAAGGAAATAAAAATTAATAGAATAAAATATAAATATAATTTTATATAATATTAATTTGAAATTAATAATAATTTAAAGGAATTTTATATAAAAAAGAATATGTGTAAAAATAATAAATGAAGCAAAATTAAACAGAAGAAGAAAGTTAAAGATCTTTTCAGCGTTTTATATTTTTATTATTATTTTTTTCTTTTTTATTAACAAATCAAGTTTTAATGAAAAGTAAAAGATCTGCAAAAATATTTAATGTAATCCTCCTATTTGGTTTTGATTTCAAAAAATTTCAAAATTCATGAAATATGAGAAGAACTCTTAATAGAAATCATTATTTCATTTTGGGATTTTTATTAGGTTTAATATTAAGTTTTTATATACCAGAAGATGTATGGGAATTGGCACAGGATGCTGCTAGTAATTGTCCTGGTATAGTTGAAGATGAAAGATTTGGTGAAGGTTTTGAGCCACATTTAAACTTAATAAATAAACCATTAGCTGCTAAAAAACGAGTAAGTTTTTTCTTTTTGTAAAAATATTATTATTAAAATTTAATTTTTATGTTAAAAAACAAAAAAAAAAGTTAAATTTCTTATATTAATTTCTTCTGTACTTGTATATCGTATTTCACACATTAATTTTTTTTATATATTTTCGTTCTCTTTATTCTTCATTGAGTAAAGAAAGCAACAAACTACAACAAAAAAAAAGGAAAATAACAAATCATTTTAGAAAAAGGTTTAATAATTAACAACAGGTATTGGTATTTACCTGTTTGAATATATATATAGGTTACCAAACGTAAAAAAGTTTTTAGCTATATTTAGTTTAAAACAAAATTTAATTTATAGCGCCCAATGTTTTATATTTACGTCGTGGCTTCGATTAAATTAAGGGTGCGACACAATTTTCGTTCCTGTATCTGTAAAGAGTTTATATTAGTTATTAAAATTAAAGTAATATTAACTTAATTAATGAGAATTGAAATGCCATTTAAATATTATTATAAAAGTCTAAACTCAATGAGGAAGCACTACAAACTGTAAAATTTGACATTTGCAAATAAAATTAGCCTTTGAAATGGAATTGCAACTGGCACACAATGAAACTGCAACCGGAAATTGAAACTTCAAAATTAGTTTATTTTATATTTTTACAGTTTTTTCATAAATTGCTTGTTGTTGCGATCTCATTGTATTTTATATGGGGTTGGGGCTTACATTTTTGCAAGTGCCGAATTTTTCACATTTTATTTTGTATGCAAATTTATTTTTGTTTTCTAAAATTAATATCATAATCTTTTTTATATAAATTTTGTAAGCTTTGTTAAACGATTACTATTTTTTGTTTAAATCTGGCAACCTTCATATTTTTTTATACTGCAAAAGATCCCTACAAAACAAAAAAAATAAGAAAAGAAAATACAAAAGGTAGACGGTTTTGTATACATGTGGATATCTACTTACATAAATGAAGAACGTATGAAATACATAACTTGTAAATATATATTCGAATAACCACTTAATACCTGTCGCATATATGTACAAAAATATTATGTTGCCTACACATGATACTTAAATTGTATTTACAACATATGCTATACATCAGTAACTGACTGCTGACGTACTTTTATGTATTTGTTTTTTCAACCGTTTACTTGTTCTCTTTTCTTTAAATATTTCAAATTGAAAATAAATATGATTTCAAATATAAATCACTTAAGTATTAATAAAAAAAATAAAAGAATAAAAATAATAATTCTTTCCAATTACATAATAAATTCCTAAGTAGCTATATCTAAATAATTTTATAATTTTAAATTAAATTCGTTTTGCTAAATAGCTAAGTGTGATCTAAAAAATTTAATTTCTATATATAGGAAAATTTGCACTTTCTATGAAAATAATATAAGTGCATAAATAATTAAATTAGTGTTCCTGGCCCCATTTGATTATACAAATTTATAAAATAAATAATACTAATATTTGTACATACAATGAAATTACCAATATAAATTAATTAAGAATTTAAGAAAAATAAATAATTGTGTTTAAATTTAGATATAGCAAAGAGATAAAACTAAAAATAAACTAAAGTTACAGGCTTTCGATCTGCTGCAATAAAATCAATTTATATAGCGTGCAAATTTAAAAGTTTTCATGTAATTTTCCTTGTTCCTTAAAAACCTTGGACTTCAAGGAACTTTTATTTCCTTACAAACTTGGACTTCAAGGGGCATTATATTAAGAAAAGAAGTGCATAAGGTGGTTTTTCAAAATATTTTATTCTCGACACACTCCTGAATTTCTTGAACGTGCCCGTAAATTACCGTTATTACTTTTATTTACTTATGTTGAAAATTTATAAAATTTCTGAATTGCAACTAGATTTGCCCACATTTATCTAATATAAAAAAAAAATTATTATCAGGTATTGAAATATTGAAATATATTTTATGTTCTATTAAGAAAGAAAAAAATTTTAAATTGCGGGTAAAAATTTCTAAATAATTTTCATTGTGTTAATTTTTAGCACGTTGAAATTATTTTGCTACTTATAAAACTGGGAGCTTAATTTATGATTATGTGCATTTTTTGTCACTAAATTATTTGAAAAAAATTCAAAATAATATTTGCACCTATTTATATATATATATATATATATATATATATATATTTATAATGATATTGTAATCAAATAGAAATACAAATTATGCAAAATTTTTTATTATTTGTTTGTTTTTTGGGTAATAAAATTTATTTTTATATAAAACATTATAATACGTATTTTGATGTGATGTGATTGCTTACTTTCAAGTCAATATACATGTATATATATGCATATACCTACATAGGGAAAAATGAGTATTTTATGTGGTATTTGGTGTGGTGATAGGAAAATTAAGTGAGAGTTATGATTTAGAAATTATTTTTCACATAATTTTTTATAGTTTTATTATATGCGGCGAAGCCATTCTAAGAGAATCTAAGAGTACAATTTAAAATTGTAACTCAATGCAGGCTATAATGTTAAATTTTTTATTTATTTAAGTATAGAGTTTTTTAATAAGGATTTTGTGAGCTTTAATTAATTAAATTGTAATTGTCAGCAATTAAAATATGTGTAATATGTGTACATACCAAATTGTAATTTGCAACATTATGTAAGAATAAATAAATAAATAAAAGCAAGTTTGTTCTTAACTTTCAAAGATTGATTTTGCGTAAACTATTCTGGCCTATCAGAAATAATTTAATCAAACTTAAATGCTTATAATTATATTAAAGGATTAATGTTTTAATTAAGTGTGTTTACTAAGTCTTTCTTTACTATATTAACAAAGTGTTGAATTGCAATTTTTAAAACTTGAGTTAATTCTTTAATTTCATCGGCATGGACCTTCTTTTTTTATATACATATACATACATATAGAGTAAAACCCATAATATATTTTCAAGGAATATTTTGTGGAATATTAGATTATCTGATATACTTAGTTTTCAATTATCAACATTATTAACTTAAAGTGCCACTTATATACCCTATTATTTACTTTCTTTAATACAAGAAAACGTTACAAATTAAAGAAAATTACATTTATATATATTAAACCATGAGTATTCCACTTTGTAATCATAATCCTTTATTGTTATCAATTAAGATTAACATTATTGGGTTTGAACTATATTAACTATTATACACTATTGAATAAAATATTACAAAATTTATTTATGAGTATATATCATATAATATATGTAAGTACACCACACCTTCGTATGACCCATAGTTTTGTTAACACGCGAATGTCAAATTTTGAACAAATTGCAAATAGCACCGAATTCTCATAACGCGACTTATGTATGTATTTTTTTTAACATAGGTTTGTGTACGATATTGTATAAGATATCTAAAAATAATGACAGAAAAATACTAAAAACTAATGTCAAAAACTGCTTTAAAACCTGAAATGGAATAAAAACAGCGAAATTTTTCATTTAGTCAGGTTTTATACGCTATTAAATATTGTTGGTTACAACTAATTTAATACATAAGTTTGATGTGTGTTAATGTCGGTTTGATCGATATTGTTTGATTGCCGTATTACAACTCTCATCAAACAAAATCAACAATGTTATGATGTTTAAAACTGCTTGTCTTAGAAATAAATATATTATTTTTTAATTTTAATTTATTCAATATTATTTGATATTTTCTCAATTAAGCGCAGTAACGAAATGCCTCCAATGTAACCTTATTTATAGTAGAGGTTGGTTCTAACCAACGCATAGATTCTGAGAAGTGAAATAACTCTGTTATATATGATGACACAAGTGAATAAATAAGAGTCATTTCGAAATAAATTTTTTTAAAATTTGCAAGTAACGAATTATAATACGCGTATAATGATGACGGATGACTTGTAGTTGGCACCATTAAAATTTTTATATCAAATTTTATTAATCAATTAGTGTAAATCTTTTTTTTTAGAAATTCATAAAAATACTACAAAATAGAATTCATTTTTTTTTTGTGGTTAAAAACAAATAAATAAATTTTATTAAAACTGTTAAATATATAGTTGAAACTTAACCTCAATATTTTTCAGAAAAAAAATACCTACATATATTGCTTTTGCACATTATTTGTAATAATATAAAGTGAAATGAGAATAAAATTTTAAGTTGATAGAATTCGCATGCACTTGAATTTTTACTCTACATATGTACATACTATTCATCCCTATAAGCATATAATGGTAAATTTTATTCAGTATATTATGCCTACTTTAATAAGTGCGAATACATTCATGCAAGTATGTACATATACAATATTTAGGCAAATTTATTAATAATTCTCATAGGTAAACACAAAACACATTCGTATATATTGTCTATAACTACCTTGACTTGTTGCTTACTTGAATATTAAGAAAAAAAAATACGAAAAAAAAACTAGTTTAAATTTTAAATTGCTTAATGGACTTTGTCTGACACAAGTTTGCATTCATAAAATAAAATTTTATTTGCGGCTTACTATCGAAATATGGACTTATTTTCGCTCGTTTCTTTTTTATTCAATCTTCAGGTTTTTTTTTTTTGAGTTACATTTTTTTAAAATGTTCCATTTCCGTCACAAATTCTTTTTTTTTTTTGTTTTTATTTTATTTTTCATATTTTACTTGTCATTTTCCTTAGAATTTTATTTATTTTTTTGTATAAAATATAAAATCTAGTTTAATATTCATTAAATGACGTAAAGACATTAAAAATGATTAAAAGATTTTATTTGTGTTTTATTGTAAAAGTATAAAGAAAAACGTGTAAATAATTTATTTTGGATATCATACCTAAATACATACATAAGATCATACTTTAAGGACGAACGCTGTTTCCAAAAAAAAAAAAATAGATTGTGATTGATTCAAATGGCAGTTGAAGAGTTGTAGAATTTTATGGTTACAGTGTATCGTGACACAAAATTACTGATATCTGTTGTTTGCCTTCCTTCGGAG